CTGTGGCAGCCCCGGCCCGTGCTGCAGCCCCAGGAAGAGCTGCCCTGGGGGCTATAGGGGAATCTGGGGGGCAAAGGAAAGATGAGGTGGGGCAGGGCCGGGTATCCATGTAATCTGGGGGGGCAGCAGGCCTGGGATCCTCGAGGGGGGGCCAGTCCCCATCCACATTCATCTCCCGGAAGAAGGGCAGGCTCAGGTACTGGAGAAGTGGTCCTGGCCCTGGCAGGGGACTGGGTGGGGCTGCTGCAGGGGACCCCACAGGGCTGATGTCTGCAATGCAGAGGGGCTGGGGTACCCCACTGGGGCTACTGCTGCTACAGTCAAAGGACCGGGCCAGACGCCGGGCTGGGGTCCGCGGTTCTGCCCGCTCCAGTCCTGACCTTTCTTTGGGGGCTCTCACAGTGGGTCCCATTACAAATCGCCCATCCGGGCCCCGGCAAATGGGTTCCAGGGGTAAGGGTCCTCGGCTAGGCGGAGGATCCGGATGAGGACTGGGGGGTCCGGCGGGCTCCCCCCAGAGCAGACTCTGGCGCAGGCTGGGGACTGGGGAACCCTGGAGCTTCAGCTTCGCCACGCTGTCAGGACTGCCAGAGCCGGGAGCAGAGCTGGGGAAGGACAGGAGGGCAGGGTCTGCAGTCTCGCCCAGGAGCCTGCGCAGGCCTTGAGAGGTTGGGAGCACAGAGCAGGGCTAGGGAGAGCAAGAAACTGGCACGGGGGTCGCATTGGGCTGAACCTCTGCATTCTCACCTCCCTCTAACTCCTGTCCCTCCCACCCCTCTCGCGCACAGTAGGAAGACTGAGAAGCCAGGGACAAGGAGGGACTTACTGTGGAGCTGACTTCCTGGGCGGGGAGAAGATAAGGGGTGGATCTGGAAAGGCAGGACAAGAGATGACACAGGCAAAACCCAAGGTCCGCCAGGGCCCCAGGCGCCGGCCACGCAGCCAGCCCGCAAAGGAGTTACAGGGTCTGCAGGACTTCTTGAAGCACCAGGACCACGCAGGGGGCTGGGATTTTCCCCCAGGGAGGCGGGGCTTATGGGGGCGGGCCCACGGTGGGCGGGGCCCCACGTGGCAAGGCGCTCAGGACCTAGGCGAGGGTGGCACGGTGGTGGGAGCCTACCTTGGCGGAGGCGTTTGCGGCGGGGGGGGGCAACCCCCCTCGCCGTACCAAGTGCGGG